GACCCCTGATGGGGGAGGAAGGAGACAGGAGTGTGATGGAGACGCTGGTGGAGCACTATGGCTGACCTGGGAGCTCCAGGCATTCTATCCTGAGGCCGATGTGTGTATGTGTATCTACATGCATGCAGATATGAATGTGTGACTCTCCATGTGCTTATGGATAGCACAGGCCACTGAGAGAGACCAGAACCTATGATGAGTTTTGGAGCATTCAATGCTCCCAGTGCCCAGATTATGGTCTCAAACTACCACTTGCCACAAAACTAAAAAACATCAGAGCCAAAACAACATCGGGGCTGTGTGGAGAAACAGCTAAGTCCACATCTAAAGCAGCAGCAAAGGAAGGGATGAGGCCAGAGTCTAGGAGCCCACAGACTTCTAGGATCCTGTCTAAAGGGCACAGAAGCTGGAAATCCAGGCTTCCTTGGCTAAAGATCTTCCACAGAGAAAACCACTGCTCAGGAGCAAACCATGCACGGGAGGCTGAAACCACTACCACCGACAGTAGCAGGAGATAGAGCAATAACGGTGTGGAGAACACATCAAGTCAGGAACGGGGTGGTTAACGCTTGCTGCTCTTGTGAGAGTCTGGCGAGTGTGGTTCCCAGAACTCACATGGGGTGGCTCACAACCCCCTCTAACTCCAGCCCCAAGGGATCTGACATGGTTTTCTGACCTCCAGAGGCACCTGCATACTGTGGCATACACACATAAATAAAAGTAAAAATAAATCTTTTTTTTTTTAAATCAAATTAAAACTGGAGAGGTGGCTCAACCTTTAAGAGCACATACTGCTCTTGCAGAGGACTGGAGTTCGGTTCCCAGCACCCACACTGAGCGGCTCTCAAGTGCCTCTAACTCCACCATCAGGGACTCTGATGCCCTCCTCTGGCCTCCACGGGCAACTGCACTCACATGAATATACCCCCACTTAGACACACACTCATGTACTTTAATAATTGGGTCATCTTCAGAGGAAGATGGGGGAGGGACTCATTGTCTTGAGACCTGAGGGGAGGGGAGGGCAGTGAGGTGTTCTTCTGCCTTCTGCAATGTGAGGCACATGGTGGGTAGCCATAGAGATAGGAAGCATATCTCTATAGACATTGTGGTGGTTTGAATAGGAATGGCCCCATAGACTCATGTGTTTGAATGCTTGGCCCATAGGGAGTGACACTATTAGGAGATATGGTCTTGTTGGAGTAGGTATGGCCTTGTTGGAGGAAGTGTGTCACTGTGGAGGTGGGCTTTGAGGTCTTATATGTTCAAGCCATACCCAGTGTGGGACACACGGTTCACTTCCTGTTGCCTGTGGATCAAGACGTGGAACTCTCAGCTCCTTCTCCAGCACCACGTCTGCCTGCACACCACCATGAAGATTATGGACTAAACCTCTGAAACTGTGAGCCAGCCCCAATTAAATGTTTGCCTTTATAAGAGTTGCTGTGGTCACAGTGTCTCTTCATAGTAATAGTAGCCCTAACTAAGACAGACATATTTAGGTAGCCATGCTCCCCCAGAGAACTGGCCGTGCTGAGGAACCCCATTCATTCATAAATGGCTCTACACAGCAGGGTGCTCCCCAACAGAAGGACCCAGATCAAGCCTAGGGTGAAAGACCCAAAGCCAGAAGACTCCACCAGACTGAGCCAGGGGCACGTCAGAGACTCCCAGGAGTTAGGAGGCCAGACCAATGGGCCCAGGTGTTCAACAGCCAAAGAAAATAAAGGATCCAAATGGAGGGGAGTCATAGGTTTAAAAAAGGTGTGAAGAAATCTCACCGAAGGCTGGGTGAGGTGGCGAATGCCTTTAATCCTGACACCCAGGAGGCAGAGGCAGAAAGATCTTTTCGAGCTCAAGGATAGCCAGGACTATATAGAGACCGTGTCTTTAAAAAGAAAAACCTTGCCGGGCGGTGGTGGCGCACGCCTTTAATCCCAGCACTCGGGAGGCAGAGCCAGGCGGATCTCTGTGAGTTCGAGGCCAGCCTGGGGTACCGAGTGAGTTCCAGGAGAGGCGCAAAGCTACACAGAGAAACCCTGTCTCGAAAAACCAAAAAAAGAAAAAAAAAAAGAAAAACCTCACATTCTAGGTCTTGGGATCGAATTTGGGGGACAAACTATGAAGAAGTGCCAGCGTAGACATCCACTACTGTGAGGGTAAGGGGGGGGAGGCTGTGAATTTGATGGTACACAAGAGGGGCCTCCCAGGGCTGGGGTTTAGGGACAGACCGAGTTCTAGACCTGGGAGCTAAAACCGACGCTGGGCTGGGTCATCTTATCACGAGACATTCAGTACTAACATGTCTGGTGTGATATGCTGTATTTAGTTTTACTTTTGTTACTTTAAAACGTTTTTAAAGAAATTTAAGCCAGAGTCTGTCTCTTTCTCACCCAAACAGCCACTGATAGTGCCCCTTTCAGAGAGGACCGGCCACCATGGCCCTGCTACTGACTGATCTCCTGTGGCTCTTGTTGCCAGCTGGAACCTGGGTCCCCGCCCCTGGGGGACTTCCACAGCTCTCCCAGGCTTTCCTCAACCCCCCTTCCTCAGCATGGCTTCCTCTGCAATCCCTCAAACACTCCCTGCCCTGTACTCTTTTTCTCCATTATAAAGTGTGAATTTACTGTGGGACACATAGGGTCCCTGGCCAAGCTGTTTGGTCTTGCCCCTCTGTGGGAGGGCGAGATTTCTGTCTGTATCCTAGCCACCTCAGCAGTGCCCAGGATCCGTACAGACTGGAGCACCAAAGGGTCAGCCTGTGGTGATGTTCTACTTGGTATGGTTCTGGCTGGGGGCCCTGCCCAGTTATCACAGCCAAGATGTTGCTGCCTGGAGAGGCAGCTCTCCTTACAGAGTGGGCCTGGGTGATACTTGTCCCTGCCCAGCCCAGGTGAAACACGGAGACACACAGAGCCAAGTTCCATAACCGACGACAAGTCCAAGCATGTGCTGGGGGCTTAGTGCTGTGCTACCAAGTGTCCATGAAGTCCTGGTGCCAGAAGTACTATTCGGCCATGCATAGTACCATAGGTATTTTCCACCGGGAAAACTGATCTCTGTGTCAAACAGAGCCCCAAAGAACGCCCTAACCTCCAGTCCCCCACAAGACGGAAAGCAGGGACTGTCAGTCTAGATCCCCTTCCGGGTCTTCCGAGGCCTCGTCACCATAAGGGCACACCCACCTCTCCACTCTGCCTGGCTTCCAGACTCAGGGCTGCTTCTGCCTGCCGCTGTGCCCTCTGGGAAGCTCTCTCCCTCTCTCCTCCATCTAGCAAGCTCCACTCCCTTCCCAAGGCTCCCTCTCCTTCCACACTGGGGGAAGCCCTGCCTAGAGCCCACAGGACCTGGAGCTACAGAGCAAAGCGGATCCCTGCCTTTGCTGGTCCTGAAGCGGAGAGGAGCGGACATAGGCAAATAAAGATCTCATTAGCCCACAGCGCGGCTCAGGAACCCAGGGTTCTCTCACCCTGCCAGAAAAATGGTTTCTTTTTTTTGGTTTTTCGAGACAGGGTTTCTCTGTGTAGCTTTGCGCCTTTCCTGGGACTCGCTTTGGAGACCAGGCTGGCCTCGAACTCACAGAGATCCGCCTGGCTCTGCCTCCCGAGTGCTGGGATTAAAGGCGTGCGCCACCACCGCCCGGCGAAAAATGGTTTCTTAAGACAGGGTCTCACACTATGCAGCTGGGTATGACCTTGAATTTCTGATTCTTCTACCTCTATTTCATAGGTGCTGGGATTCTAGGTCTATACCACCATGCCCATTTTATGTAGTGCTGGGATTGAACCTGGGGTTTCATTTGTGCTAGGCAAGTACTCTACCACCTGAGCTACATCCTCAGCCCTAGAAAACAGCTTCACCTTATTGATTCACTTTACCTCCCCCTCTTCCAGAGAACTCTACCAGGAAATGTGATTATCTCCTTTTTTTTAAGGTAGGTAAATTGAGGTCCAGAGTCCAGGGGCACCAAAGCCAGCAAGTGCTGGAGTCGGGCTCTGAGCCTGAACCAGCTTCCTGTCTTCACGTCCATGTGCTAGGAGCTAACAGAAACATCTGCTGGCACCAGGAAGGGAGGGTGGATGGCACCTGCTGGGGGAAGGGCACCTGTGCCAGGCTGCAGGAGGAAGGGCTGACAGTCCCAGGCCATGAGACCAGCAGGATAGCACCCATGACCACATGAGGGCCAGCTGTTCAGGGTAGCAGGGCCAGGACTCGGGAGTGGACAGGACTGCTGGGTGCCTGTATTTGCTCTTGATGGCGATGGAGGTGTGGTGGCTCCTATACTTGGGATGCCATAGTCAGAACCCCATGGCTGCAACTAGGGAGGTGGAGGGAGGAGCTGGGGTGGGCAGGGACTAGGCCCTGGGCCTGGTGCAGTAGACCTTTCTCTTCTCAGCTCCTCTGCTCATTCGAGAGTTGTGGGCAATGACACCTAGACCCTGAGACTCAGCTCCTTGATACAACAGGACAGGAAAGGTGGTGGCAGCTGGGCTTGCTGAGGCTTGACCAGGCCAACTTGTCTCCATGTTGTCAAAGGCCATTGGAGCCTAAGAGGTCATCCCTAGATGTCTCCCCGTCCCCTGCCCCCACCTCTCTCTCTCTCCCTGGTGTATGCATGCACAGGTTTGTATGTGTCTATATGTGGGGGGCATGTGCATGTGTGTGTGCATGCATGCGAAGCTACAGAGTGACAGCCGGTGCCTTCCTTCATGGCTTGCCACCCTGCAGGGTCTCTCACTAACTTACTGCTCACTGACTCACAAGACTATCTGTCCAGCAAGCCCCAGAATTTTCCGGTCTTATCTCCCCGGTGCTGAGATTACAGGCATGTGCCACCATGCTTGGACTTTTACATCGGTGTTGGGGATCTGACCCGAGGCCCTCCGGCTTGCACAGCCAGCTCTTGACCACCAGAGCCTATCTCCTGAGCCTCTGGGCCCTCATTCTTGAACCGCAGCCCATCTGCTTGAGTGATTCTGGCCTCGGGGCCTGATACTCACCACCACCTCCAGGTCTGAGTTCAAGTGCCGCTGAGTGTCCGACATCTGAACCAAGATCTCACCTGGAGGCAAGAAGGGCTGCCTTTAGTGTGGAGAGCCTGCTCCATCTGCCTTCCTCCTGCCAGAAGCCAGTCAGGACATTCCTGGCTGGATTGGGAACCAAAGTCCAAGGATTTCATGCATGGCTCTTACTCAGGACTTGGTAACTCTGGTCTATAGGGAGGGGTAGGGAAGAACTGGGGTAGAAGCATGAGAGATGGGGCTCCTGGCACTGGCCACAGGCCTGTGTGGAGGTGGGGGCTTCTAGGAAGGCCCATATGCAGAAGGAAGCCCCAGAGTGTGGGCCACATTGGCCTAGACCAGAGGAGACAATAAGAACCCAGGTAAACCATGTGTGGTGGCACACGCCTTTAATCCCAGCACTCAGGAGGCAGAGGAAGGCAGATCTTTAAGTTCGAGGCCAGCCTGGGCTACAAAGAGAGTTCCAGAATAGCCATGACTACACAGAGAAATCTTATCTCAAAAAACAAAAACAAACAAACAAACAAACAAAATCACAGATAAAGGACCCTGGGCTGGAAGAGTAGGCAGAGGCTGGGGGTGGGGGTGGGGGTGGGGTCAAGAGGGCAGAAACTCACCCAGAATCTGTGATGTGGAGCTCTGCAGGGCCTGCTCCCCAATCTTCTGGATGGCGCTGAAATACACCTCAGCCGCCTCGGATAGAGCTGCAGGAGAGGAGAAAGTTCAGGCCCAGTGCTCAATCTGTGCTACCCTGATTGTGCAGAGGGGACGCTGAGACATGGGGGAATGGGGAGAGGTGCCCTTGAGTGATGTGTGACTCTTGACACTGCCAGAGAACAAAGAGGCGCTTGCCTTGTCTGCTGCTGAGGAAGACCTTCCCGTGCATCCCATGGGAGGGAGGGAGGCTGCAGGCACCTGTGTGCTCAGGGAGGAGCGGGTAGGTGTACGAAGGATTCAGGAGTGTGTGGAACATGGGTGGGTTGTAGCACTCAGGGCTGAGGGCGAGCCCAGCAGCCAAGAAGGAGTGCTAAGCTGTGGGATGCAGCCTCAGTGATGGCAGGCGCTGAGTCCCAGGCTGGACACTCACCGTGGAAGGCTCGGAGGTAGTTGTTACCCAGGTACACGAGATTCTCCAGTGCAGGGTTAAACTGCTCCATGATGCTCTGGCCCCGAGGGCAAGGGATGCAGGCCATAGTGGTGGAAAGAAGGAGACATGGACATAAGTACCTAGCCCTGTGAAGCCCACCTTGACCTCTGAGGCCACCAGAACCCTGGCCCCCTCCTACAGATGCCTCAGTCCGGTGCCGGGAGTCCCTCGCAGACAGCTTCTGTCACACACCTGCCCCAGGGAGGCCTGCTCCCACCCGACATGACAAACCTCAGAGTTCTCTTGGTCTCACTGGCTGAAGGAAGCCTGTCCATCTGCTGCTACCCCACTGGGCACAGCTCAGCCCATCCTGTACCCCGGCCTCACCAGAATAGATTTCTGGGGCTGCTGACATCACCCCGCATACTGCTTTTTTTCAAAAGGACCCCTGGGGTCGACGATGGGGTTGGGTCCCCACCCAGGCTGTGGCCAGCTGGAAAACACCCTGGGCAGTGGAGGCAAGCCTGACGCTTTGAACTGGGCTTTGACTCCAATCCCAGCGGCCTTCTGCTTCCCTCGCTGACCTCGAACGAGCTCGTTAACCTCTGTGAGCTCGGTTTCTCATCTATCCAGCAGGCTGGCTGTTTCCTACCTCACAGGTGACGGTGTGCAAGGTGTGCATGGGAAGGGTCCTGTAGACAAATCCCAAGGATCCACACTCCCACACCTATAGCTTAGCCCAGCCTAGGCTCTCCCTCTGCCCTGGAGCCAGCCTGGCCTCTCCATGCTGGCCACGGCCCATGAGCTCACCTTGTAGATGGCCATGGTAGACCTGTAGAACTGGTCCATTTCGGGAGCCATGGAAGGTGGCGCTGGCACTGAGGAGGCAGGTCGCCTAGCAGGGCTGGAGTCAGTCTCTACGGGTGCCCAGTGCTGTGCCTCCCAGACAGCGGGCAGCAACAAAGCTGTAGAGTGGAGCCTGCAGATGGAGTCCTATCTGGAAGAAGGTGGCTGCTTAATTATTCACCAGCCAGGGGGGATGTCAATGCGATCTGGGGCGTAACCAGACCCTGTGGGGAAGGCATCCTGTGACGCAGGCAGGCTCCTGTGACCTGCCCTTCAATTATTTACCCTCTGGGCGTAGACTGGTGGGCATGCGTGGATGAGCCACTTTCCCAGGTCACCTCTGGGAGTCCCCAGTCCTTCATCTGTCCTTATATAGCCCTGCCCACCCTATAGGCCTGGACCACACACCCTCCTGCCAGAGCAAGCTGAGGCACCCTGGAGGTAAACCCAAATGGAGGACTTGTCTGTTCTGACAGGCTTCTTCTCTGCTTGGGACCCGACTCCTTGAGGGGACCCTGGCCCCGGTGCTGGGGATGGAACCACACCCTCATATATACTGGGCAAGTACTTCACCACTGAGTTCCTGCCCCCCCCAGCCCTAATTCCCCACCTCCTAATGTCAGAGGAGGGATGACATGAACCCAAGTCCCACAGACCTGCGGCAGAAGTGTGACCCTCTTCTCTCACTGCCCAACCCCTTGTCCAGACCTTCTGCCCTTGCCAAGTCTCAAATGAGGCTCCCGCAGGCTTACCTGGGCAGGTGGGCCTGGCACTAACTCTGCCTACTCTATTGGCCTGTTATCAGGGCTAGAGGAGAGGTTGCACCGGTCATGTCTGAGGGAGCAGGGTTGGGGACACACGCATACTATGGCACATACTGCACAGGTGGACTTGAGTCTAAACCCGTTTATTTCACAGTTGAGGTGTCCCCGAGCCCCTCCCCACTCCCCTTGCAGAGAAGAGTGCATGCACAGGATCGACCTTTGGGAGCTGGGAGGGCTGAATTAAGGTGGGGTGGCTGGCAGGTGCAGAGGGGCAAAGTCGAACAGGGTTGGACTTCAATAGCCTGGACTTCACCAGATGATGAGGTGGAATCCCGTTTCTCTAGTCCCTGACTTCTGGAAGTGGGAAGAAGGGGTGGGCTGCAGTGGCCAGGGAACTTGGGAGAACCCTCTGGGCACACTGGGCACCTTAGTGTTGGTCTCACTTGTATCTTATATGTGGGGCAGTTGACGGAACTGGTTTGTCCTTCACAGTCAGCTAAAGGGGCTGAGGGGGGGACTCTGGGCTTTCAGCCTAGAGTGGCAAAGTGCAGATGGGTCAGGAGAGGTGCCTTGTGGGGAACCTGTCTGTGCTGAGCCCCAGTCCTCAGGTGGACACGGAGCTAGCTGCCCGGCCCAGCTTGGCCCTCAGTGTGCTGGGTGGCCTGGTGCACCCCTGCCAGCAGGGCCTGGGGCTCAGGGTGACAGCAGCAGCTGGACAAGCTTCTGGAACTCCTCCCGGTGCTCATAGATGTAGACCTCCGTCTCCCAGAGGGCGTTGACCAGCACTGCATCACTGACCTCGTCCAGCATGATGTCTGATCCTAGTTGGGGGTTCAGTCTGTCGGGAGAAAGGAGGAGAGGGTCACCCAGGATGCTCAGCCTGGGTGGGGACAAGAGCTTGGGCTGGGGAGGGCCTGGGGAACAGAGTCCTGCCCTGATGCTGGGAAAGACCACATCAAGGGCCGGTGGGTATGTGTGTCAATGAGTCTCACTAGGTCATGCCGGGGCAAGGACCTCTGTTGGTGAGATGGGGTGGGTGGGGCTCACCAGGCCTGGGTGGAGTCAGGCCATAGGGAACCTTACCTGAAGTACTGAATGCCGACCATCTCGCACCAGGCCCGGGCCCGGTCCACGGCCCGGCCATCTGGATCTGTGCACTGGGGGAAGCAGTCCCCATAAGGCCAGGCCACAGTGCCCTGCGACCCACCCTCCGAGATCCCTGGGTTCTAGCCGTTCATTAGCCGAGTGACTCTGAACAGGTCTGGGCCTCAGTGACTGGCCTCGCTGGGCAGAATCCGTTCAGGATCTCTGAATGGCAATGAGTGCAGTGACCAAGGCCTCCCCCTCCCTTCCAGTTATAGATTTCATCCATATGCACTCTGGCCTTCCACATGGCTGTGTGGAGACAGAGATGATAGTCAAAGAACATTTGAAATCCCGGTAGGACCTGGTCAGCCTGGAGACTGAGTCTGGGCTGTCTCCAGAGCTGTCGGACAGGGATGACACAGCCTTGTGTGGAGGCATCAGCCAGAGGTAGAGACAAAAGAGCCCAGGGAAGGATAGCGACTCACACAGTCCACCACCATCTTGCCCAGTTCCTTGGCTCCAAAAACAGTCTTGGCCAGTTCCCAGGGGTTGCTGGGGCGGAAGACATCTACACAGGTTACAGGCACTTGAGGGGATCTTCCTGTCCCCAGAGAGACGACTATGGAGAGTTTCTTCACCTTGTTGCCCTGGCCCTGTGATGAGCAGGACAAAGGTAGTCAGAGGGAACTCCCACAGGTAGGAAGGAATCGGTGGGGTCAGAGAGAGTTGACCAAGGCCAGGTGCAAGGCTGTGAGGGGCAGAGACTAGGCCCTGAGCAAGAGCACACCAGATTTGAATCCTGGACAGCTCTTGCAGCTGTCCCCCGGGTGACATGACAACCACCCCTTCAGGACAGAAGAGGTGGGGGGAGGTGCTGAGGCTGAGCTGATGGAGGCCGCCTTGGACTTGCTCAACCAGTTCTGCGCCAATTTGCTGGGTGACCTTGATGGAATTCCTTCCCACTCAGGGACCCCAACTCCTCATCCTTCATAGGCCCTAATTTCTACTGGACGTGTCTGAGACTGCCTGATCTCCTTCAGGAACCCACTCTATCTGCCGAGGGTGCATCTCAGTGCTCCGGGGCTGTGCTGGGACTTCTGTGACTGGAAGGCAGCAGTGGACACCTGGCTAGGTACTCTTCACGCATCGCACAGGCAACGGCATCCTGAGTCCCCAGGGCATTCCGACAGGCACTGCTACTAGTTGAAGGTTGGGAAACTGAGGCAGCATCAGCACACCCATGGTACTGCTCTACCTCCCTTGGCACACAGGCCTTGTCACCCTGCTCTAACAACTTGGGTAAGGGCCACCGCCTGCCCTTGGATCACTGCCTCTGCACTGCCCCGGGCCTCAGGACAGGTGCCAAGTTCAGGAGCCCTTCCCCAGACCTCAGTCCTCCCACACCGGTCCTCCTCCTCCTCCTCCTGCCTCTGGAGGGTGCTCTCCCAGAACTGACACATACAGGAGAGTCTCCAACAGGATGTAAGCTCTGCAAGGCAAGAGTGTGTCCTGGCTGGGTGGTGGCAGATGTGCAGCCTGTACACTGCCCTCCCCACTAACGGCAGGTGCTGGCCACTGATCACAGCCTTCTCTGTGTTCAGAGTGGACGGGACCTCAGAAGTCTCCTAGCACAGACTGCCCATCAGATAGGCCCTGGTGAGATATGATTGAGATATGAGTGTTGTACAAATGGGCGAGGATACGTACCACAGCAGTGTATGGTCATGTCCAAACTGTGACCTGAGAGGGCTCTCACCTTGCGGATCAAGTCTTGATTGTACTCATGGATTTCAGTCATGGCATCTAACGTGGGATTGTTGGCCAGCAGCCCACCGTCCAGGAAGCGCCCATTGGGCCGGAAGTAGGTTGGGGCTGCCCCACTGCTCCGGGCTGCCCGCCATACCAGTTGGTCTAGGGGTGGGAAAAGAGGGCGGCTCAACGACATCAGACCTGTCCCTTCAGATCTCAGGTGCAGAGGGGAGTACAGGAAGAGGGGGAACTAGGAAGTCTCTAGAAACAGGACCCATAAGGCCTTGCTGCTGGGTCTTGCCATCCTGATGAAAGGTTGTCTGTCACTGTGGATTCCAGGGGCCTCTTGAACTCTCCGAGGCCTAACAGTCTCCAGCAACACTTGTCCTTAGCCAGCCAAGACCAGGGCAGTGATGCAGGTGCGGAGGGTGTCCAGTGTCTTGTCTGTGACTCCCCAGCCCCACCAGCCCCGGCTAGCTCTTCTCACAGACACATCAAATACACGGCTCTGACCTGCAGGCTGAGTTGGGGGCTTCAGGTTAATGTTTTGGTTGAAGCGAGGTTCCCGAACGGCCTCTGGAGCATCGTAATTCCGGAAGAGGTGGAGCTCCGCTGGCTGCCGGTCAGACAGGGTTCCCGTCAGCATCACCCTGTCGGGAGCGAGCGACAGAGGAGAGCTGGCCCAGCACCCATCATCTCCTCGCCAGGTCATGCCCCGGACCCCTGCTCTAAGTGGGCTTCTCCTTGTCCTCACACAGACATCTCCCGTGGACCTGGTGGCGGCTTCACGGAGGGACTTCGGCGTTCCCCTCTGTGCCCTATATACTCACGGTGTTTCCCGCTCTCCAATAACCACCCCAGAAGGTCACCAGGGCAGGAGACAGGCCGCACAGAGCCACCAACGGCAGCATCCGTTATTAGATGACAGGGAACACCGTCACTGTCCATCGGCAAGCCATCCGCCATAAAGCGTCACTCCTTACTCCGAGGGTGGCATGACACTGAAGAACAGCTGAGGTGGCACTTACTGGGGGGCAGGAGTGCCAAGACACAGGGTATACAAGGGACAGTAAGGCTTGGGGCAGGGCCTCCAGCACCCTGTCAGCTGTTAAAAACAACAGGTGTGACTGCTCCCCTCTGAAGGGCCCGAGAGCAGTGAGCAGACTGTAGCTTCAGGACACTGCGTGGGGGTGGGGGTGGGGCTGGGGTGTCCCCACTGTGACCTTTGACACCTTCCTTTTATTTCTTCTTTCTGTCATTCCCAGGATGTGTGTGTATGGGGGGGGGGGGTGCTGGAGAAACAGCTCAGTAGTTAAGAGCACCTGCTGCTCTTTCAGAGGACCTGAGTTCGATTCCCAGAACCCACAGGATGGCTCACAACCATCTAGAACTTTTGGCCCAGGGGATCTGATGCCCTCTGCCGACCTTTGCAGGCACCAGGCACGTACGTAGTGCACAGACACACATGCAGGAAAACATTCACACACATAAAATAACAACAAAGAAGGCTCCTCCTAGTCCTGGGACACCAAGGGGCACAGGCCCTTACAAACTAGCGTGTGTTCAGATCTTTGCACAGCCCTGGTCCTGGGAGCTCCAGCCGGACAGGAAGTTCATCCTGAGGAGCTCTCATTGGCGGCGGGTGGCGGCAGCTAGTCGCCCTGTGCAGCTTGTGACAGAGGCCATCTAACCGCAAGAGCAGCACACTGTGTCAGTGAATGAGGAGACTCGAACCTAGGTCCTCTGGAAGAACGCTGACTCATCCCTCCAGCCCCTGGTTTTGATCGAAAAAGCCTAAGAGGAGCTGAGAAGATGGCTCAGTGGTTAAGAGTGCTTCCTGCTTTTACAGAGGACCCAAGTTTGGTTCTCAGGAACCATGTCAGGAGGCTCATAACTGTCTGTAACTCCAGCACCAGGGAGTCCATGACTTCTGGCCTCTGAGGGCACCCACACACATGGGCACACACCCCACACAGTGACAAAATAAACACTGTTTAAAAGGATAGGACAGCTGACAATAAAGGAGGGCAAAAGCCCACCAAAGATGAGGTCTAACGAGACAATTTCTATACTGGGTTGGGACTCCAAAAGGTTATATTCCCAGGATAAAAACAAGCCAGACACAAACATGTCCCTTTGTTTAAAAAACTTATTATTTTTA